GTGGACTTCAACTCCCAGAATTCTCCAGCCAGCAGAGCAGAGCTGGCTGGAGAATTCTGGGAGTTGAAGTCCACAAGTCTTAAAGTTGCCAAGTTTGGGAACCACTGGTCTAGTGCTAAGGGAATCAGGCTAGAGACTGAGTTCTAGTCTCACGTGAAAGCTGGCTGGGTGACTTTGGGCCAAACTCTCGCTCAATCCATGATGTCCAGCTTGGCCATCAAGCCAGTGAACCAATTCCTGTTACAACCAATGGATCAACACTCCATTGATCTGAAAAAAGCACTTGTGGATAAATACTAGGAAGAAAAAAGAATGGAAAGGATGTGAATTCTACATGTTAGTATATTTTAGCTGTCCAGACAAAACTAGCACCTGCTATCAGGTTGTATTCCTTTAGAACTGACAATCAGTTGCCTCTAATGCATCAGCTAGTATTTGAATTTGAATTTGAATTTTAATAAATTTATATGCCGCCCTATCCCGTAGGACTCCGGGCGGCTTACAATGCAAGTATGCAAGACTTTCAGCAAAAATCCAGACTTCTGCTGGAAAAGACAAAATTATGGGTGGCATTGCACAGGTATACATTGATTAACTGCTTTGTTTAGTGAGCAAAATTGCAGCAATGCTGAAACAGTAATTTTACAGCTAATCTTTCCACTTACAACCATTGCAACCATATTCTCATAACCACATAATAGAAATGCAACTGGTGAGTGCACTTACGACCATCATTGCACTGTCCTGTATGTGATCACCATCTATGCACTTCACAACCAGTTTCCAACAAGCAGAGTCAATGGAACAGCTAGCAGTAAAATTTCAAATCACAGTCATAAGTCTCACTTAGCGACCATGTCACTTGGCAATGGAACTGCTGATACCAATTGTGATCTCTAAGCAAAGTTTATCTATCTGTATGCCATTATATGTATGTGTGTTTATACAATCTGCATCGGATTGTCCAAGCATACAAAATAAATTATTAGTTTTACTCTTGATTTTTATTCTCTAAGTTAAAGGAACAACAAAACAAACTAAATCCAATAATGAAAAATCTCCTAAAAACAACAGGCAGAGATAGCGGGCAACATATTTATCTTGCCTTTAGAATGAAAGTGGACTTTTTCTTTGTTCCCATCAAACGAGCCTTTGCCATTGTTGAGACATGGAGAAAATTCTCTTCTCAGATTTGAAAATTTAAGATGGACAGAATGGAAGAAAATGACCCTATGTTCTTTAAATCCTTTGGGACTTTGAAGGTCAAACAGTAACACTGTAAAATTAATCATAACGATATAGACCACCTGCTTTATAATTTTGCAATTAAAGTTTCCAAATAATTTCCCGATTCTACGTGGCAAAAAAGAGAGGATACTATCATTGCTACATTTAACACTTTTATATTTTTATTTAATTAAATCAGCCATTGTACACATTGCAGCTATGTATTGTTAGTGCTGTTTGTTTGTTTTACATCTTTAATACATGCCCTCATAGATATATTCAGTTAAGTGTTATCACCATGGGAACAAGATGCCGATTTATCAACTTAAAATCACCTTCTCACAGTATTCAAGTTCTCTGATAACACAGCAAAAATTCAAAACTGAAAAAAGGAGAATAGCCATTATGCTGTTACACAGAACATCATCTGCACCGCAAATAACACAACAGAAATGCATTTCTTGTAGAGGCCCAGTCTTGAAGGTTAAACAGTGATGTTCTTGACAATGAGAAATGAGCTATTGTGTGTCCTGCAATTAGGTCTCCTTTCATTTTGGCAGTCATTAAGTGCTTGTGTCCTGCTTTGCCAACAAATTTGCATGGCACCAAGTAGTTTTTTTTTAAAAGCAGGAAATCAAAACCTCCTCAAATGTTTCTTTTCTCTTGGCATTGTTGCTTAATGAGGAGGTGCCACTTGGAACATTTATTTTCAGCATCCTGAGCACTGAGTGAGTCGGTTTGTTTTGTTTAAAGGAAGAAAGGCTAGCAGGGTTTTGAAAAATATTCAGCTCTAGAGGACCTGACTCATCATTGCTGAATATGCTTTGTGTTTATCAAATAACTGACTCAAAATGTATACCATTTCATATAATATATATATATATATGTTATATATATATCTAATTACATATATATGTTAAAATGCTACAGAGCTTCAGACCACTATTAGAATTAGGTACAGACCACAAAACAATTCCAGGGTCATATATGCCTTCTTGGAAAATCAAAGTGCAGACATTTACATGAATAATGCTTGAAAGGTGATTAAGAACTATAAATAAAATAGCAAAGGGAGGAGAAAAAACTCAAATGAATGCGTAGTGGATTCCTGTCTCCTTATAAATAAAACTCTGGAGAAAAACCTCAAAGACAATGGTAATTTCTGCTCGCTCAGTGCTAGGAAGGATGAGAAGCGATTGGCATGATTATAGAAAGGTCATGTTTTATATTCCAATGCCACATGCATGTGCCAGATTTAAGAGACAATCTTGACATAATGTGATAAATCTTTTTTTTCCTCTGAAAGTTTCTTTTCCTCCTGCAAAATGTCTGTAGTGCTGTGGCCAGCAGAGATAACCCCTTCTAAGACAGCGTGGTTTATTCAAGGAGTGATCCAAACAGTGTAGAAATCAGAACGATTGAATGCACCCATTTCACATCCCTGATCTAAAAGAATTAAATACAGTATGCAAAAGTGCCACAGATACAGCTGCTAGCACATTATATCTAACTGGGTATATTTTTTTCTTCAGGAAATCTTGAGGTGGTTTTCCCAGGAAGCAAAAAAGCAGTAATGGCTGCAATCAACTGTCCTGTAAGGGAAACAGCTGAAACGTGAGGCTTTGTTCTGACTCTTTAGTCAAGTAATTTATTACACTGGAAGTCCTATGAACACAGGAGGATTGATTTGCTTCGTTCTTGATAGATCCATGTCCTAGTTGCGATGGATTGTGTTAGCAATATTAGAGGAATTATTCTTCGACGAACCTTATAGTCCTGATGCTAAAAGTAGTCACAATAGGCAGTGCTTCTTTCTTTCCGTCTTGTGAATCCACATATTTTCTCTATTTACAGTTTAGAGTTAATAATATCCTTTAAAAAACACATGTACACTGTCATTTCAAGAGGCCTGTGGAAGAAACTTATGCGATTATGGATCTGGTGCAAAAAAATAAAGAACAATAAAAATGCCAAGATGACAAGAGTGTCAAGGAGAGCACACAAAGTCTATGACTTAGTAGATAAAACCATCCAGAATGAAGGATGTGATCTTTGGTCACAAATTAGCTTACAGATATTTAGAAACAAAGAAAATGAAATGGAAAATCTGCTCTATATGCTCAAAGTAGAAACAGCAGTGTTCCCTGATGATTATGTTAAATAATAATAACATCTATGATAAAAGAAAGTTGGATAAAGCTGGACAGTTAATGGATATGTGTGGTGGTCTAAGAGTGAGATTTAGCAGCATCTCATTTGGCCTCTTTCTTCTGCTCATCTTTGCAGAAATGCCTTAATAATTGTTGAAGGTCATGCTGAAGATCATCCTGGGGTAGCGCGTCTGGTGTGTCCTCCAGCAGCTCCACATGAGTCCGGTTTCCATACTGGTCCTTAACCACAGTCCTCTTCTGTGTACTAGCTTTACTCATTGTTGTCCTACAAGGAGTCAAAGAGGGGAAATGAGTGAATTTGTAGGATTTTTTTTAAAAAAGGAAATTGCATTCTATTTTTCATTTTAAAATTCTAAGCATGAATTTTGAGTTCCTGTAGGTGAAAAGACAGGGACTGCATTTGACTTTAAAGAGCTAAGAAAAATGCTAAATATTTATATGTAAAGTATCAATAACATTATTTTTTTAAAAAAAGTAATTACTTTCCTTATGCTACATTTACATAAAGCAAGCCTATATTTACAGATTCAAACTAGTAGATTTGTTAAAATGTCAGCAACTTGTAACTTCTTGAGAAATTTCTCGTGTGTGACATAACTTTGCACAGGCAGGGAGAAATGATTGCATAAAGGGACTATGGGTGTAGGCTAAGATCAAAAGTTAAGTTGGTGCATAGTTCACATGGCTATGTAGAGTTAGAATGGGATAGTTTAAACTGTCCTTATGTATGGTTCGAATTTGTATATAAAGATTGTATCAGAGGTGGTATTCTGCTGGTTCGCACTGGTTTGGGCAAACTGGCAGTGATGGCGGCGCAAGGCTCCGCCCACCCACTCAGACATCATAGGAGGCCCTGCATATGCCCAGGCATGCTGCGTGCGAGCGATGGGAGCGCGCAGGCGCTCCCACTACCGAACCAGTACTGAAGATAAGAGGATACCGTTACTGCATTGTATCAGTCAGAAACTTTCAGTTATAAACATGTCTTAAGTTATTTTCCTTCCTGATACTGATACTTATTCTGAGAGACATTATTTGCTTTGTAACATCAGTGCCTTAGTAACATCAGTGCTTACATTCATATGTTCTAATCCAGCAACACTGACCTTTGTATGAAAATCCTGTAACAGGGAATCATTAACAAGATAAATGATAGGAGAAACATCCATATCCCAAACTACAAACCTGCTAGTTTTTGTCATTCCTGCCCATACTTACAATATTTAACTTCAACGAAACTCATTGCTAGGAAGATGGAATACAAGTCAATAAATAAATATGTTTGTCATTTGGTATTATACGTTGAGACAAGGGAAGGGAAGTAAGCTCTATTATATACATATTTTTATTACTACTTCTCTTCAAGTAAGGGTTTCCACAGTGATGGGAATACACAAAATTACATCACAGAAATAATTTATTCAGTGGAAAAGACAGTTTATTTCTTTGGGTTATATTCCTTGAGAACGACAACCCATCTTGTAGAGGTAGTCTCTGTTGACTTTTTAGTTCTGAGAGAGGAATATCAGGTTCATAGTAAGCCTCAAGAAACAAATGAACTAGGTCATTTAACTATTTGATAATCAAAAAATCTCATAGTATTGTTATTTATACATTGTTAAAACCCTGTTAGTATTCCTTCAACCCATGAATGCTACTCGTTATATTGCTAAAATGGTGTCATCCACACACAAGAGGGAAGGTCCAGGACTTAGGAGATGTGTGTGCTATTATATGCAGAGACACCTGTGAGAGTTTATCAATCTTTGTAGCAAGAGGAAATTAGAAGCAATATGCTAGATGTCTAATCAGAAGCATTTCACACTGCAACAAACAAACAAACAAACAAATAAATATCTGTTGTCCTCTTTGTCCTATGTCAGTAAAAAAAAGAACAATAAATACTATCTCCTTCCCCAGAAATGTGGGCTATATTCCCAACACATTTGCCTGGTACAAAATATGTGGAGAATATGATCATTATCTATTTGGAGAGAATATACATGTTCTAACTTCAACGGTAGAAATGCAGCATCAGATTTCCCTTTGAGAACTGATTTTGATAATTCTGACATCAGAGAAGGAATGTGACAGTGAGAAACTGGAAATTTTGCCAATTATTGGGCTGGCTTTACATGCTTTACAAATTATTGGCAGAAAAATAAACAAACAGTTGAATCAAGAAAGGAATGGGAAGAATAATAGGTTTCTTCCCCCATTTTGACTTTCTTTGTTGCAGGCAGAGTTTTAAAATTGTTAAGAGTATAATTTTTAATATTTTAATTGTACAAGTCTCCCAGAGTCATTTGGGAGGTGAGATCCCATCAATTAATTAATTAAAACATAACAATGGGATTGTCCTGTCCAGGAATTTGGTTTAGAAGGAAAAATACCTTTGTCTGACTATGCCTGAAGCACAGTCCTCAAAGATTAAGAGGCAATTTAAATATTGAAGAAAATAGGTATGTATAACATGTATAAAAGATAATTAAGATCATCATCTACAAATATTATACTCCTCTTCATGTTGTCAGAGTAAATATATCCTTTGTGTCAACCAAATTTAGGTTCTGAATCAATAGATCTCCATTACAAAAACAATGGAATTTCAACAAATGTTAAAAGGTGAAACATTGATAGTCCTACATTAAATATTTTTAAACAAAAAGTAAAGCCTAAAAAGCGATGGTATCCAGATGGAGTCAGCATAGGGAGAATTGGGAAGATTACCATCTCCATACACACATGTCTTATATAGTATAGCAGGGGTCCCCAATGGTGCCATTCTGGGGCCTGTTAGGAACCAGGCTGCACAGCTGGAGGTGAGTGGCAGGTGACTGACCGAAGCTTCATCTGTACTTGCAGCCACTCCCCAGTCACTGCCTCAGCTCCACTTCAGACCATCAGGCATTAGATTCTCATAGGGGTGCGAAACTGTAACCTGTAAATTGTGCATCTGAGGGATCTAGGTCGCACACTCCCCCCTCCCCCCCGCAATCTATGGAAAAATTGTCTTCCATGAAACCGGTCCCTGGTGCTAAGGAACCACTGCAGTATAGGATGTATTCTGCCTACATAGTTGTGAATATGAACATAGAAATAGTAATAACATTGAAATTATAATTAATCCCAGGTAACTAGCTTCAGTGACATGGACAATGTCTGGGGGCTTTTGTTTAGCCCCTCCCCTCCAAAACCTGGGTCTTTTGGTATGTGGATATAAAGCCAAAACATTTCAATTAATTAATTGTCCAGATTTTTTCCTGTCATGACATTTTGTCTTCCCCAAAACATTATTTAAAATACGTCATGCAATTTTTTTTACAATGCTAGCATTCAGAATCAGAATTATAATTCAGTTATTTCTCAAACAACTGTTTGTTCCATCAATTGATTATCCCCTCTTTTACCGAGTGTGTTAGTTTCCATGTAAAGCTTAAGACACCAAGACTGTAAGTCTTTATTCAAATATTATTACAGTTAGTCTGTTAAATCTTTGGTCATTGCACAGGCTAGTGTCATGCCAACTCAAACCTTTTAATAAGCGACCCATCCTCTTTCATGACCTCTTTCTCTACTAATGGGGGGACTTCAATTTTCATTTTGTTACCTATGTAATTCAGGGCCTAAAGTAAAACAGGAAGCATAACTGTAGCATAAAAGACCCAAATACAACTTAGTTATATTAACCTGCTAAAATATCAATGAGACAAATAATAGTTAAACATATCAGAAAAAAAGTATTGATTGCATAATTTGCAAATTCTGTACTTACTAAGAATTTGGGAATGTGTGACAAAACAATAGAATCTACTTTTACTGATAATTCTTATGCTGAACTCCTAAGGAAGACAAATGACCTCTTGTGAAGAACAAGGTCTTTTCTTCTTGAAAGAACCCAGAGAGAGTAGAAAGAGCTCCAGTCTTACTAACAGATGGGATTTGGTTCATTAGAAAGAAGGCTTTATTAGGAAGACAATAAAAATGATTTGATCCAGGATTATTCTTGGAATCACATATACATTTCAAATAGGATAGACATATTTCTTATATCTTGATGAGCCTCCTTTTTGGATTTACAAATAAAATAACCCCACTTGCAAATTGAATTATATTGTTAAGAGTACATTCATACTGGAGATTTCTTTCCTCAACTATGTGCTTTCCACTGTGTTCTTGGATACTATGTTTAAATGTATCCAATCTAAGAATGGAGCTTCTTACTCAAACTGGACATCTGGTAAAAAGAAGATGTGCTGACATCACTCCCATCTGAATAGAAATTATCTATATTCTATTTATTCAACCAATATCGAGTCATATTTTTAATCAAATAGGATATGGTGAGTTTACAATTCTGCTCAAAATGCATCTGGAAAAAAGTTCAAAGAGCCTTTACTCATTGATGATAAGCTTCTGCTTGTACAATTAGTTCCAATCTGAAGGAACTTCAATTTTCCTTACGTCTGGAAAAATATGTCAGTTGTGAAAGATTCCAACTAAATTCACTGTATAATAATGAATTTCTCTATACAAATTGGCCCCAGTGGGCTGACATGACCTGTCTTTCTGAAGCACTTTTATCATTTGTTTCAATTGCTTCTTCTAGCAGATTCAGTAGGTAGAAAATGGTTTTGTTAATGTGCCTCTTCCTGTATCACTTCCTTTTAATGAGCTACTGGAAGTAAACTACTGAATTAAGGCGCCTGTGCATGCATAAATATGTGCAACTTCAATATAGAAGTTCCTTCAAGGTGCTGAATATCCTGAAGGAGACTACCAGGGGTGTTAAATATTGGTTAAATATTCATGATGCCAGTAACACCCTCTGGCTCTCTGATTGGCTGAGAGCCCCAGAGGGTGTTGCCGGCCTAACGTTACTGTTGATTGGCCGAGGGACTGACGTCAGCAGTTGCTGTCTCGTCCCCGGCCGGTGATTGGTTTAAAAATAGTATAAATACCTTGGCGCGAGTTTTCGTTCTTTGAATCGCTGTCGACCTGAATAAACCAAGTTGTTTGTTGGAACCTGGCTGTGCGTCGTCCCTCCGTCAATATTTAAAAAGGGGGAACAGTGAATGTGATAGTTTGGCTTTGTTGTCTAGAAGTCGGATGGCGGCACTCCTTTACAAAGCAGCTTCAAATGAATGTGTCAACTCATAAAGTTGCCATGGTGAGGAAAGGCGGGGGGAGCGCATTCCACACATACCTTCAGCTAGAGTTGGATCTCAGAATACTACAACAGGCTTGTGAGGCGTGCACTTCATTGGTGAATGTGATTTATGACACAGACAGAAGGCAGGGAGGAAACAGGGGTAAAGTTCAGTCATAATTAAAATGAGGTCATATCTGACTGCAATGGGGTATTGCTGAAATGATGTTCCTAATAAATGACTGGATTTCTTTTGAAACTTGAATTAATTAGGGCATCTTTTGGAAACCTTTTACAGGTTTGTATAAGAACTAAAATTAAGACTCAGAGTAATCTCTCACTGGGTTCCATTAGATGATACTCTCAAGATTTTTTCCATAAGGAAAAATTCTTCTTTGTGAACTGTCGAGTTTCTCTAAACATACTGAAAAAAACCCAAGAATACATTTCTATAATGATGCTTTATTACAGTTAGCTATTTCTAATTTTTCTATATGTGTTTCCGCCCTTAGTACTATTGCAGTTCTAACGGTGTTGCCAAAACCATACAATAATCTCACCTCTTCGAAGTCATCTTTGGCTGATGGAAGATTCACTGCTAAACTAGAATCTCCATGATGTTTTTCCATTCTCTCCCCTTGCACTAAGGTAGTTTTTATAACTTTGCTGACCTTGCGGCCTTCTACTGGTTCAGCCTGGAATTCTGAGGCACTTGGTAATACACTTGTCTCAGAAAAGGTCACCTGTGAAAGAGAAATCATGAATAATTGCATGTCAATAATTGCTTAGTCCAGAAATCATGGTCATTGGCTGATTAGATAATGCCCAAAACATTCTTTTGCTACTTTCCTATGAAACATTTGCACTAATGTTACTGATTCATTCATTTCTTGGAAAACGATGTAGTTGGTGGCTAGACTTGTTAAAGAATTGCTCTACAATTCTTCATTGAGTAAGCCTCCTTCAAGGGAGTTTAAACAAGACATGTGAAGTGAACCTTATGAAACAAAGTTTACAATTAAACATAAGAAACAATTTATAATGGGTAATTTCAGTGCCAATTTTGAAAATTCACTTCAAATAAATAAACTATAAATAAACGATGGCAGGAAAAACAATCTAACCTCTGATTGTTCACTTTCACTTTTCAATACCACCCGCTTTATGACTTTGGAGTAACTGTCTCCTTCTTCCACTGTAACAGGTTCTTGGGGTTCTCCCTGCATCACAACTTCTTCTTTTTCTGTTCCATCTGGTAAAACGAATCGCCTGATGATTTTCCTAGTGACCTAGCAGGATGACATGTTCATCAAGAGTTATGTTAGCATGTAGTTGAATTTTAAACAGTGGCAGTCATATTTGTCCTTTAAAATACCTAGAGCATTCTCTCTCATGTGCGTACACAAATAAGCCTTAACCTGCTATTTCGCTAGCAGGTAACTTGTGGCACAATTTCAGCTATCACATCTTCAAAATACTATTTCAAAGCAATGTTAATATAATCAACACATGATACGTATTATTAAATACATTACAATTTGAACATGTTCCTAGTCTGAAAAGTTTGCAAATAAAATGCAGAAACTATTTTATCAAAATGAAGACAAACACCTCATACAAATTTTACAAAATATAGTTTCAACTATTCTGCTCCCAGTTCTCTCCTAAAACAAATAAGGACTTTCTATTTTTGTGCAACTGTTATATGGGACAAAATGTTTTCCTTTATCCCATGTGGTGTGAAATGCATAGAGCCTAAATCCTCAATTTCCATAAGAGATTTCCTTGTTACATATACAGGTGGTCTTCAACCTGAGACTAGAATTGAGCCCAAAATTTATGTTGCTAAGTGAGACATTTGTTAAGTGAGGTTTGCTCCATTTTACGACCTTTCTTGCCACAGATGTTAAGTGAATCACTGCAGTTGTTAAGTTAGTAACACGGTTGTTAAGTGAATCTGATTTCTCTGTTGATTTTGTTTGTTAGAAGGTCGCAAAAGGTAATACACAGCCCCGGGACACTGCAACCATCAAAAGTACATGCCAGTTGGCAAGCTTTTGAATTTCGATTATGTGACCAATAGTCATGTGATAAAGGGTCATAAGTTACTTTTTTCAATAATGTAACTTCAAAATGTCACCAAATGAACTGTAGTAAGTTGAGGACTGTAGTAAAGTATCCTAAAGCCCCTCAATTTAACTCTGGAAACCTTGAAGTGGGTCAAATATAATTGATGTACTAAAATGCTCTTTATATTCTCCTAATAAACCATCAGCTGAATACCTTCTTCACCACAATATGGCCATGTTCATCCACATAGTGTTCCTCCGTTACAGCTTCCGGGGGTAATTCAGGCACATCATCAGCCTATTGAACAAAAAACAGTTCAGAAAAAATAACTGGCTATTTTAAATAAACTGCATAACAGAAGTTAGTTGGCTCAAACAACCACATAAATTAGGCAAGAAGCACTGAAGCAAATTGCTCCAATGCTGTTGAACATTTTGCAAATAGATCCTTTTTAAAAAGCATGCAAACTTGGAACAAGAACATATTTGGCTAGTAAGTGGTGGTACTGAAGCAGCAAATCAGACTGTCCTCTTAGAGAGATAGTCTCTTTCAAAATGCAAATCAAATATCTACCATTTGGATTTACATTCCTTGAGTTTCCAAATGAAATTGGGAAAAAAATATGTTAATCAGTTGACATGCATTACCCAGGAACATGCCAAATTCATCAGTGCATTGTCAGCCAAGGGGGTGTTTCAGGAACAGGATTTTAGGAAAAGGGTGGGTTTTAAAGGTATAACCAGGGCATAGTTGCCACTGGTACGTGCAATAGTTCAACACTCCTGTACCTGAATAATTACCCGGCGGCGAACGACCCTGGTAGTTACCATCTCTTCCTCATCTGAGCTGACCTCCAGCTCACCTAATTCCTCTGCTAGCTCCTAGTGGAAGCATGGAAGCATTGCTCTCATCATACTGGTACTGTACATGTGAATGAATAATTGGGCCCCTTTCTAATAACACACCATACAAATGCTTGCTGGAATGAAATACACTGCAAAATATGCTGTACTATTTTCTTTCTATTTTGGGGCTGAATTTCAAAATCTTCTTTGAAGATCTGATGTTACAAACCGAGAAAACCTGCCTTCAACTTTCTTTTAATACCATGTACTACGTAAAAGCAGCGCGTCAGTTGAATAATGCAAATATAGTTATAACTTCATCTTCTATAAACCCAATTAACAAAAACTAAAGAGATATGAGTTTCCAACAACTTTCTAGTTATGAAATAGATCAGTGGTTCTCAACCTTTTCTTCATCATGGAACCTCTTTAAATACCTTTGGTGGCCATGGACCACCGTGACTTAACTCAAGATTTAAATTGTAATATTTCTTCAAGCCCTTGGCGGCCCCATTTAACAATATCACAACCCTCCAGGGGCTGTGGACCATCAGTTGAGAACCACTGCGGACTAGATTATATTGCAAGTTTGAGTTAATTATTAATTACTATATTTGCTCCTGTCTTTTAGCCAGTAAAATAAAAGATATAATTCCTTTACACTTAGAAAACACAGTTAATTTTGATTTAAATAGTTCTAGGATATTTTCAAAATCCTTTTCAGTTTTGAAACAGCAGTTTCTTCAGGTAAAGATACTGGCAATAAAATTTGCTCACTACATATTTACTGTTGTGATTCTTCTGCAATGGGACTTGGGACAGGTTTCTTAAAGGCTCATAATGATGATTGAGTTGCCATAGTAGCAACTTTCAAAGTGCCAGGGAACTAACGATGGGATGCGGTTAGGTTACTGCTACACTGTCAATCCAAACATCATAACTTATGAGTTTTCAATGGGAAAAATTAATTATTTTCTACAGTTGAACAAAATCCTTGAAAGAAGTGGTTTGGTGAAAGACCTCTTTCTATATTGTTAAAGTACCCATTCTTTGTTCGGGCTTATTTGGTAGCATCAAAAGATGTTCCTAGGTATATCCATGTACAGGTAGTCCTCAACTTACGACCACAATCGAACCCAAATTTTCTGTTGCTCAGGGAGACATTTGTTAAGTGAGTTTTGTCCGCATTTTATGACCTTTCTTTCCACAATGATTAAATGAAATCACTGCAGTTGTTAAGTTAGTAACACAGTTGTTAAGTGAATCGTGCTTCCCCACTGACTTTGCTTGTCAGAAGGTTGCAAACGATGATCACATGACTCTGGGACATTACAACCATCGTAAATATGACACACTTGCCAAGCAGGTGAATTTGATCATGGGAATGCTGCAATGTTCATAAGTGTGAAAAACAGTGATAAGTTTCTTTTTTCAGTACCGTTGTAACATTGAATGGTCACTAAACAAACTGTGGTAAGTCAAGGACTACCTGTATTTCTACTTGTTTGTTTCATTGTTTTCCAGTGAGTGAAATTGTTGTGCCTTTTCCATTTAAAGACAGATGCTCTGTGCATGCCCCTAAATATTCCCAAACAGTTCTTTGGAAAGAAAAATGTGGGGCTCTACTTTGATTTAACTGATCTTTTTAATGAAAAGTTTTGACAATTCTCAACTGCCGTGGGACAAAAGTACGTTTTCATTCACAATCTAATTCCTAACACATTCTTTGTAGGAATTAAAGTGTGAAAAGTGTGTAATTCCAATGAATTCTTATTTTGCTGCAAATATATAAAAATATATAAAAAATTCTTTCAAAAAATTCTTCTTATGTCCATTTCATATTTTTCAGTTCAGGCTTATTCTGATCTTATTCAAATGATAGCATATTTTCAGTTATATTTCTCTCTATTCACTTCTGTGTTAATGCTTTACGTTTTTCAGTGCATTGTCTTTCAATTTTCTTTTCCTAGAACTGTATTTTAGTCTACAGCGTGTGAACATCTCTTATTTCTTATTATCTGGGTGTATTGTTCCAAGTATTAAATAAGATTACTTTAAAGATTTTCTTCTTCATTAATTCTTCAAAGGGCACTACTTAGCATTACAACTTACTTTTTCTAACAATTCTTCTTCATGTCTTTCTAATTCTTCAGGCGGTTCATCAGTGGATTCAACAATCACCAGGCTGTTTTTCCTTGGATGCATATCTTCTTGCTGAAAGTGATGGTCCTCAGGTTCTTCCACAATGGGAGAATCAGTTCGATCACTAGATGTTGGAGTATGCAATTGTGGCCTTTCAAGATCTTCACATTCTGCGGTGGGATCCCCAGATTTGTCACTGGCAATGATGGCTGTTTTCACACTTTGGGGCACTTGTGTCAAATCTGCTCCAGAAGCTGTGATACTGTTAATAAAGATTGGAGGAAACAAATGATTAGTTCTTCTCGTCTGTCTCTGAGGAATAAGATTTATTCTAAAGGTTTTGAAAAGTGGCACATAACATTCTGAAATGAATAAATCGGGACACACTTGACTGAGAATACAAGTGAGAATTCAATACCTATTGTCATGAACTACTAATCTAATATGGTTCAAGCTCTCATATTTCTTTTGAAATATATTAGAATTTGTATTCAGGTAAACTGGGTTTCATCAGACAAAAACAAGCATCTAGCAATATTTTGTATAGACATTTGTGTTAAACCAAAACAGTCTAGCTCTCCAGTACTCCATTATGATATATTTTTATTTCGAGTAATGGAACTTTCCTCCCCCTTTTAAAAAAAATATTTGGCCTTCCTGATTTCTTCTCAGCAATTTCACTGCTCTCATTCATTCCATTTGTTCCATTGCCACCACAGGCTAACAGCAGAAAGAATTGAATAGAATTAATGGTTTTCTTTCCAGTCTGTCATCTGTGTCCTAGTAATTGTCCCTTTGTGACTATTTAATTCAAACTAGTATTACAGTGGTTCTCAACCTGTAGTCCGTGGAACCCTGAGGGACCTCAGTGTCATCACAGGGGGTCTGTGAAGGTTTGAATAAATGTTATGATTTAAATCATGAGTTACATCTTGGAGGTCAATGGCCATGCTCAGTGGCCACAAAGAAGAAAAGGTTGAGAACCTGTTTATTTCCAGGAATAGGAATAGGCAAGTTCAAGGATTACCCACTTTGGCAATCTTTGACCTCTTACTGATTGACACTCCTCTCATGGAAGCAATGTCTGCTCCCCAATGAAAATTTCACCCAGTAATTCAGTATCCAGAAAACCTTGGCTCATCTCACCATGAATGGAGCTTCATTCAAAATAAAAAAGAAAAGAACCATTATCTAACCCAGCCAATATTTTGCCAAATTAAAAACACACTCAGATATATGACAAATAGAAACGATAATAACATCTTAACACCAAGGCACCTGAGGGTAGAACAAGAAGCAATAGGTGGAAACTAATCAAGGAGAGAAGCAACTTAGAACTGAGGAGAAATTTCCTGACAGAACAATTAATCAGTGGAACAGCTTGCCTCTAGAAGTTGTGAATGCCCCAACACTGGAAATCTTTAAGAAGATGTTGGATAGCCATTTGTCTGAAATGGTATAAGGTTTCCTGCCTAGGAAGGGGGTTGGACTAGAAGACCTCCAATGTCCCTTCCAACTGCTACTGTATTGTATCTTATTGTAGCTAATTTGATGATCTATTTCTATTTAAATTAATAAGTCTAAGAATATTTTAAAATGATATATATTGGCCATATATTTGTTTTATTCTAAACTTTTAGAAATTATTTAGCTCATTGATTTTTTTCTTGAAGCATCTTTAGTCTTACAAAATTTGTATTTGTTCACTGCTTATGAAACATGATCTCTATGTAATAAATATTTCCTATTGCTACATATATCGCCCTACTATAGAATTCTTACACATACTCCTGTGTAGTAGATGAATCTTCTGTCAGCTCATGAGGCTTCCCTGAGAATTCAGCTTTCACATGATCTTTCTGTATTTGGTGTAGAAGTTCTACCACAGATACTTCTGCCTCAGCCTTCGATGTGCCTTCATGCAAGGGTGAGCAACTAAGAGAAAGGTCTTCTTCTGAAACAAGGGGAGGATGATCTGATGGCTCACTATCTTTAGAAAAGGAATATTCTTCCTCTTTTTTATCTTTTGTGCTGCATAGATCTTCATGAAGTGCAGAGAACCCTGAAGGCAAAGTAAAACAACAATCATTTAATCTCAATAAATGAAGTAATTGTTATCTACCCTGTTTCCCTGAAAATAGGACCTCCCCGGATAATAAGCCCAATCTGGCTTTTGAGTGCATGCGCTAAAATAAGCCCTCCTCCCAAAATAAGCCCTCCTCGAAAATATTGCACCACAGCAGCAGCCATGAGGTGACCTTGCTCACCGCCTCCTGCATCTCAAAAATAATAAGACCTCCCCCAAAATAAGGCCAAGTGCTTATTTCAGGGGTAACGAAAATAAGACCCTGTAGATGCAGATTTGTACCAATATAATGCAGAACAAGCAACTCGGCAGTTTCAAAACATAAATTAAAAGATTGCTATATTTAACCATAGATAAATAACCCTGTCATGTGTTCAGATATAAGAACTTGCTAGTGATTCCTATGAACCCTATCCACTAAAACTCCATATAGCCAGAATTTCAATAAAGGAAAGAATTTGTAGCTCGAGGTTAAAGTGAAAGGCCCTTAGTGTTCACTAAGCTTGATTGTTTTCTTGCAGACATTTCATTACCCAAGCTAGGTAACATCATCAGTGCTAGTAAAGTGTGGGGTTAGGTCTCAATTTATATTCTAGCAGCTTGCCCTGTCAGTAATGGTGGGAGTGATCTTGGAGTTCCTTGGTTTGGTTGTTTATTGTTAGCTTGTTTGATAATTGCTTGATTGGGGTATTGTTAACTTAATTGTTAGTCTGATGTTAATCTTGGAGTTAATCTATGATCATCTGGGTGTTGATTGCTGGTATGAGGGGTATTTTGATCTTTTTGTTCCATTTTATTATCTCTTTTGCAAAATATGTAGACACCAGGGGTGGGTTTTGGCCCACACTACTGTCAGTTCGCTTGTGTGCACACTTCACTTGTGTGTCGGCTGTTAAGGTTGCTGCAGTGAGTTTGTCTTTGTCTAAATAAAGTTCTTACACAGCTTCTCTTGTGGGAGATTGGATTATTGCTTTGGTAGTAGAGAAACTTATTGGCATGGGTGGTTTTTCAATACACTTGTGTTTTCAGTTTGCCATTATAGTCTCTGCGATCAGGATGACCACAAAGGGTAGTGAGTTGTTGTTGTCTTCTTGTCTGGTAAACTGGATTCCTTTGAAGATATTGATGATTTAATGGGTACTCTCTAATTGATCCTCTTTATTGTTATCGACATGAATTTCAATATGCACATCTACTATTGATCTCTCAATATTCAGTGATATAGTATAGGATGATACACTTCTCATCATCACTACTACAATGTTGAAGAGCACTATGTTTATTCCTATATAAACTGATAGGAATGCTCTCCTTGGTATAGAACCACTAGTAGTTAACCCAGTGATAGCTGATGGGTATTATTTGATAACACTCAGTTACTGAATAGTAATCATGCATGTGTAAGTATATTCTCACCTTCACTGTGATCCAGTACCATTGTTTGTTCAATTTCTGCATAGGTGCGACCATGATCTCTGGACTTTTCCATACTACTTTCCATTAGGTGGACAATATCCATTCGATTAATTTTTTTAACACACTCTGTAAGACCTGAATCTGTGTTATGGAAGAGACAGCATTTATTTTTAACAATTTGCACATATGAAGAATGCCATCTACTCAGTTTTTGGATAACTGCTGTGAAGTCAGCCAATAGGAGGGTAGAGAATAAGCCTGTGTCTCTAATCACTTGAAAAGCAGTGGTTATTTATTTTTCTTTCTTTTTGAGCCTGTTCATTGTCCTGATAATCACACTTATATAGGATTGATTATATTCCTGGGAGGGACATGAATTGCCTCCTGAAATAGCTTGAAAGGCAATCTTCCAAGTAACAAGTACCCACTAAATACTGTATATTCAGATATATGAAAAGGGTCACTATTTGATAGCTTTGTACACATTATCCACATTTCTGAGAAAAGCAGCACCAAATGTTGCACTATTAATGGAATGTCTCTTCATTCCAATAGTAAGTACTTAACTAGGAGTCTCTAGCAATATGTAGGTAGTAAGTGCTTAGTGACTGCCTTGTTTAGCATTGTTTGCAGTTATGATGGTGATAAAAAGGTAACTTTATGACCTGTCTTCACATTTATGATCTTTTCAGATCTGTAAAGGAAAACTGAAATGACATAATAAGCGTACTCACAATTTCACTTAGCAACCTCTTCAGTTAATGATATGGTAGAATTGCCAGGCCCAATTGTGGTTACTAAATGAAGATTACTTGTACATAATACGGTAATAGAAAGATAGTAATTATCTTGGCTGCTTAAATGAAATTATGAAGTAGCTAATATCAGTAATGGTACTGTTTATGTTTTATTTTTAAGCTGCCCCACATCACAAATGTGAGATTGGCAGCTATAGTGTATAAATTAGTTAAATACACTATAAATTAAAAGGAAGGAAAAAGATAATTTTATGAAAAAGTTCTTATATATTATGCACCTCTCAGAAAAATATATTGGAGGAGTACTAATAATGTTGGGCAATCATATTTGGAAGGAAAGACATGTCTATTCACAGAGCTGTATTATTCTTTTGAATATATACACATGCAGGATATCCTGGAGAATACACAGAATTTACCTGGAAATTATGCAGGTACAGTTGCTCTGAAAATGGCAATTGCATAGGAAAGTAAATTTATCCTTCTCTACTTGAATATTTTTTTAGTTTAAAACCATACTACCTTCAAGTTATTGTATGTCCTCCAAGAAAAGCATATAAACAGAATATGAGCATGTTAATTTATGTCATTGTGATAGAAACAGTTCTATATCATTGAGAACATGGAAAAAAGAAACATTAGAAGTCTTTTTCATCAGTGCTGTAGTCTCAGTAGACAGTATAGCTACATTTAGAGGCAGATTAGATAATAGATAATTATCATCTATAGAAGTCGATACGTAGTAGGAGTGTCCTTGTGTGTATATAGGATCTTTATATATTGTTTTGTTTTTGTATGACACTTGCAGTCTCTTATGTACATTGCACTTGGCTGTCTGAATGGAAGAGGAGTGAGGGATGGTAACTGCTAAAATAAATATACCAGTAGCATGCTTTCCATCTCTTTCCAGCCAATATTTCAGTAACGCATGACTCTGATCCTGAAGAGAATTGGGATTCTCAACCCGAATTTGATGAATTTGTTCTTCAGTGAAATCCAGTTCTCTTGCTAACTCTGTAAGCACAAAGTATTCAAATAATTTTGACTAGTTACAATTCTTTATAAATATCACTTATTGCTATTAGATTATATTCACCTCAGAATAAACCCTGTAAACACACATATATGCGTGCACGCACACACACAAACGTATCTATCTATCTATCTATCTATCTATCTATCTATCTATCTATCTATCTATCTATCTATCTATCTATCTATCTATC